TATATTCGTTAATTATTTCTTTTTTATAAAAACTGTATTTTTTTTGCACTTCTTGCACTGTGTAACAGTTTTTTTGTTTAAAATAAAAGTATCGTATGCTTTGTCACATTCAATTTTTAAATTGAAGCTCATTTTTTATTAATGATATACTGCTTCTGTTTCTTTCTTCTCGCCACTTCGAATTCATAACCGAAAATATCCTTTCTGTTTATTGAGTCTTTTTATTATTTTTCGTTTTTTAGTCGGCGTTAGCGGCGCACTAGAATTTGACGCACATTCGTTATAACTACCATTTTCCATACCTAATTTATTTAGGATTTCCACTTTTCAAATGAAATAACAACATCTAATTGAAAACAATTCTGCCGATAAATAAATAAAGCAGACCAAAATCTCGTTTGACGACGTCAAAATTGACGTTTTCAATTTGACGTTGACAAGTTCGTAACTTACTTAAAAGACGCGTTCTTATTTTTTTTTAATTAAGGATTTGGTTGTTAGATTTGTCGGTGTTGAAAATATAGTATTTTTACATACTATATATTTTTTCATTATATAGTACGCAGACCCGAAATATAGTAAAATACTATATATTATAGTACGGTTGGCAACCCTACTGGTGTCTGAGAATGGCTAACAAATATTGACCTTACAAGTTGGATTTCTCTAAATAAATGTAAAAATACAGAATAGAAAAATTTAATGAACATAACAATGAGTATAATATTCAAATAAGGATTCAAGTCTTTATACAAACATATGAATAAAAATAATGAGTAATAACATAATATTTTAAATGTAGAAGCCCTATGGACACAGATGATTTTTTATTGTTCAAATTCTTAAAATACGAAACAGGAATTGATTAAATTTTTTGTATTGCAGAGTAATTCCATTAGTAAAACAAAATATAAGAGTATTGCTTAATTCTATAATACATTAATCGTTGGTTTAAATCATTTCAGTAAATACATGTCCGGTACACAAACTTCTAGATACACATCAAACTGTGCTTACTGCTTATAATTAGGTATAGGCAGATTATACACTTATAATTAAAAGCATTTACCAATGTGCAAGTGACAAGAATACAATAATATTCACTATATCATTTATTTCTATGTTGTATTACAAATTATGTCCATAGGGTACCTAATTTAAATACATTTGTGAAACTTATAGATTGTTGATTAAACTCTTAAATATTTTTGTTGTTGTTGGCTTCTATTTAAATCCTTTATATTTATTGTTTTTCAATAGATTTCCTATTTTTCATATGTTTTTAATAATTCTATATTATGTTTGTTATATGGACTTGCAAACTTTAATTCCTGATATCAATAGATATTTGTATTTTTGAGACAATGAAAGATAAAATGTAGGAATCTTTGTTCAACTTTATTAGTGAAGAAATGTATATATACAAAGTGAAAGCACTCATTCAATATTCCACAAGTTATGGTTTTCAGTGCTCGTGGTTGGTTTAGATATTTGTTATAATTATAATTATATTAAGCTCAAACTATCTAGTTTCTTTCTATTACAGCTAAAGAAAATGACAGTGTAGAAATGTAATAGATAAAAATATTAAAGTATCTGTATGCCTATAACTTTACAGTTACAGCTTTTCACTAAACGCATTTCAAAATTTAAAAAATATCTGGGTGCATATATTTGTTCTGAATGATATGTGAAATATCTTAACAGATTTTGACGGGACTTTTAGAGGCATACACCTTGTGTTATAGAGCTTCTTGTTTTAGAAAGTTTTTTCACATATTTTGTTTGATATAAGTTATAAATAATTATAAAACTTTTTTGTAAAGCCGCGGCCACGGCTGATTTTTAAATATTATCGTTTAATGAAGGCACATTAAACATTTCATAAACTCACAGATAGTAATGTTATAAAATATAAAGATAAAATTGATTTAGGAACCTCAGTACCTCGACATTTGACATTCTTATTTTCTGACATCTGAATTCTGATATGTGTAAAGTTATAAGTATCTAAATTCTAACCTAACCTTAGTGTTACCAGACTTTATTAGTATATATATTTTGACAGCTGGCGTTCTATAATCATGCTACAAAACTATTGAAAGTGGTTGTTGTTGGAATAGTACTTTTATTTGAAACAAATATATCATATCTGATTCACCTACCTATAGTCTATTAAGTAGTATAGCCGCTCGGTAAGGGAAATGGAGAAAATTTGCAGTAGAGCCCCATCTGGCAATACTGTTTATCTATGGAGTTGTAACCATTTTTTTGTTTTTATTTCTCAGGTTAAACTGGTTAAAAAATGTGAAGCAAAATTTAAATGGTTATATTATTATCTGTTAAACAAAACAAAAATTACAAACAGATTGTTTGCTTACCATATTAAGTAATTATTCAAAATTACGAAATTTCGTATGTAGTTAACAAAATAAATTAAAAAATTGCAAATAGGAGAAAATATAATATATATTTTGAGTTGTCCGATTTGTTATGTACTGATTAGATTGTCATTCTAAGATTGTTTAAAGCATTTCTGTACTAATGTAGTGATATTTCTGACAATAATTATAATTTACAAATAAACCAAAGCAATTTCCTTTACTGAAGATGATAGTCATACAACAGTAATATGTATGTAGCAACACTCTAATAATGTTGCGGTAAATCCCCTTCCTTCAAATAACACTGAATCACTCGACACGTCTTCGTAGTTCATTTTTTTTCTCCAAAGCAACCAGTATACAGCGACATTTCGTTAGTCACTCTCGAACCGTTTTGGACAGTGTATTATTACGAAGCGCGGCTGAAGTGAGTAATTATAATAGTTATTGAAATTTGTTTGTATTGTGTATAATATAATAAAACTTGATAATTTTTAGGAGTGTTTGATACAATCAAATTTAGATTAGGTATTTTCTAAATATTATGCTTTTATTTCCGTATTTTTAAAGGTTGTTTAAGAGAAATTGCTTTATTTTGAAAGTTACATACTATATTCGAGACCATTTTAGTAACGAAATTATAAGAATAGTCAATAGGAACCGATTCAAGTAAGATCTTTATTTAGAAATTCTGAGTCGCAATACGCCTTAACTAGTTGACGCCATTTTGTATGAGATCCTTAAAATAGTGACATTGTTAAGAAATTTAAATTATTATGTTTCAGAGATGGGGTTCCTTACTGCTTTGGCGGTTAACGTTATCGGAGGTGCTGTTATCTACGGCACCGGCGGTCTTGGAGTGGGATTGGTGGCCCCTTGGTTGGGTTTCGGCTCAGCCGGCATCGCTAGCGGCAGTATGGCTGCAGCAGCACAATCCTACTATGGGAATCTGGCCGCTGGCAGCATCATTTCTAAATTGACGGCCGCGGCTATGGTAGCTCCAACGCCATAGGTACGTAGGGTCAATGTCAAAACGTTACCAGCTTTAAGTTTTATTAAACTGAAGTTGTCTTTTGAAAAATTTTCTTTCAGATTCAATGAAATTGTAAACTATGAAATAATAAATATACAGTTGAAATCCTAGAAATTAGTTGTTTTTTTTTAAATACAACTCATATTGATTATTATTATTAAGTAATTCAAAGTTTTTGATACTCTAACTCACAATTTGGTACTGTTTTTTATATCTTTTATTTTTGATTTGAAATTTTGTGTTTATACTATATTGTTAGCAATAGTTATTTTAGTTAGCTGTTGGTTGTGATAAAATACCAATTTTTTATATGGAATTTTCTTAATACTGTACTATTAAATTCAAAAGAATCGGAGCAACGATATTAATAAGCTAGAAGCTTGTCTATTATTCAAGATTATGTATATAATTTCCAACAGTAGACCAACCTGAAATAATCTTGAACATGAATTTTATACATATATGTATATTAAATTTCGACTGCATAGATTTTGACTGTCATTCCATCCGTTGGAAGATGGAAATGAAATTACTTTCTCACAAACAGCCTTTTGAACTGTGTTTGTTAAGTTTGACAAAGCGAACTTGTATTAAGGAACCAAAAAAACCAAAAGAGAATCCATGACTAAAATAAAGTAAGTGGTGTTTCACCAATTTAACTATGATAGAGGAGAGAATACACACAAAAACATAGCTTTAAAACCTGGTTCAGAGCGTCGAACTAATTCTAAAAATAAATATATTACTAAAAACATCTGCCTCAATCAGATTCTATTACTGAACTGTGGTTTAAAGATCCTTCTAGCAAATAATAGCAACGCGAACCAATGTCAATTCAATACGTTTTATAAAAAAAAACAGTATGTAATTGGTAAACAAGTTTTTAATAAAGATCAGTGTACTTTTGATACTGTATTAGGAAATTAGTTATACATTTTTATAACTCGTTTTATTTGTCAATTTATTGTTAAGTAATGTATTACTTCTAAGTAATTGTAGTAGTTTAATTAATAGTAAGTAGATTAAGTTGTCAAATTCACGACGACACTGGTGGCCGGTAAAACTCGAATGAGTTTATAATGGTACCTTTAGTAATTATATTAGTATGTTATTGTTATTTGTTGTTATAAATAAATAGAAAAAAGTCAGATCAATACTTGGAAATGCACGTATAAGAGAGACAAAGCTACAATCCAAAGCTACATCAAGCCAATGAACTAGCAAGATCCCATCCTGTTATCATACCTATGATTTTATTGTAATAAATGTTATATTTTTCGGATTTACTACGCAGCACCGAGATCACGATTACTGCAAAGTAACTAAAACGTCGTATGTATGTCGTTAAAAATAATTATAAACGCGTAGTAAATCCGAAAATATTTAAATTTTATTTCAATGAATACTCTCAAAAATGTTGGATCTCATTAATTTAATTGAGATTAATGATTAAATATTATTAATAATCATTAAAAATAATAGTAATCATCACAGTTTTATTCATTGTTAATTATAATTTAATATATTATCATTGTCCTTTAGTATTTAAAGTGTAGTATAGGCCACGTTTCCCCATGAGCTGGTCATGTGTCCCTCTCTCCATTACACGGCCAGCAGCCAAAACGTGTATCAGTGATGAAGCTACCACACGCGGCCGGTGAGAGACCAATACACACGTACGACCATCCCGGCAAGATGATAGCACCACCTGCATCGTTATAATTGGAAGTTACTTCAATTAAATAGTTTATCTTTTTATGAGAAAGCAAACGAAAAGACCCTACTTGAGGGGTAGTACACAGCCACTGATGGATATCCGCAACACAAGAGATGTTGCGGATGCGTTGACCTTGGTTATTGGGGAAGAAGGCGTGGGAATAAGGAGATGACAGGAAAGGGAGGGAACAGGGAAAGGACAACCGGCTCTCACTCATCGGACGGAACGCAACCATTAAAGGCTACTTCACGCCGATCTTCTGTGAGAGGTGATACTACCCCGTTCGAGCCAGCCCATGTACGAGCTGAAGAAACTCGAACACAGTCAGGGTCTACAACTCCATATATGTATTTGAGATTATATATTTGGCATTTAGCCATTTCCGTATCGAATATCAAAACACATATGTACTAAGAGAAGTTCAACAAGAAATTATGCTTTAGAGTATAGTCTGTTCCTACAAAAAAGTGGTATTCATGGAATTTCTTTTTTTTAATGGATTTTTACTAATTAAATAAGGATGCATCTTCAAAATTAATGCAATAATACCCATATTTACTGTACTATTTCTACTACAAGAGTATTTTACCTTCTCGTTTTCACCATCGAGAGCACTGGTGGCCTCGTCTAAAAGCAAGATCTTCGGTCGCCTTATCAAAGCTCTCGCTATAGCGACTCTCTGTTTCTGTCCTCCAGACAGTTGTATGCCTTTTGAACCGATGTTTGTCTCATAACCCTGCAGTACCGACGACATTTAGGACAGTTTTACAATCTTTATATATATAATTCTTCTGTGTGTGTGTGTCACTGAACTTCTCCCAAACGATTGGACCGATTTTGATAAAATTTTTTGTGTATGTTCAAGGGGATCTGGGAATGGTTAAGATTCACAATTTTGTCTGCTGGACAATGTTTTTTTAATTAATTTTTAATTTATTAGTAGTTGTTGATACAAACGTTTTTTTTTGACATTAGTTTTGACAACTAACTAATATGTCAATCATTCTGTCGCACTTCAGAACACGGAGATTTATGGCTTAAATAGGTAAACTCCAAAAATATAAATAAAAAAACCTTACAGATATTTCTTGATTATAGGGCGATACGAAGTTTGCCGGGTCTTCTAGTACCAGTATAAAATTTAATAGAACTATGTCGTACCTGTGGTAAGGAAACTATGAAGTCGTGAATATTTGCAAGCTTGCTGGCTTCCACGACCTCTTTCATGGTGACCGGTCTGGAGATATCCCCATACTCAACATTTTCGCGGATGCTGCGCTCAAACAGCGTCGGTTCTTGAGATACTAGAGCAAAGTTCGCACGGACTTCGTCTACTCGTAAATGTGTTAAAGGTTTGTCTTCCAAACTCTGAAACAATAAGATATTAAAAATCCTATTTGTTTGAACATTAATAATCTAAGTGTACAGTAATATAATAGCAATAACTACTGGATAGATTGAAAATTTTTTCTTATTCATCTTACGCACGTGACTTTTATCTGACGAAAAAACTATACCATTTACTTGACTTAGTATAAAGGTTGAGGTTTGAGAATACAATATTTGTAAGTAATATGCTTTCAATGATGTTTGTTTTCTGACTTATAAAAAGCTTTACTAATATATATGATTATTTTTGAATGTTTCTCACTTACAATAGTTCCCGAATCAGGATTGTAGTACCTTTGTAAGAGTTGAATCACAGTACTTTTCCCACATCCACTTTCACCTACTAAAACAATGGTCTCTCCTTCTGATAGCTACAATATAAGGTTCAGGGTATAAAAAAAACTCAAAGGTTCTTATAGAACTGGTCAGAAACTCGTTTTCTGAATCATTATAACGTTACGATATAGTAAATGATTAGACTATAAACATATGTACTTTTAAATCAATGCCTCGAAGAACTTTTACTGTAGGTCTACATGGATATTTAAATCTCACTTGATCGAAAGACGCATTCCCTTTTGATACCTGTAAGATAGTTTAAAAACAATCAGTGCCATAAAAAGATACGTACAGGTTGCAGTTAAGTATTTGTCTATTTAATACTATATACACATAATTTGTTATATTTTAAACTATTTTATACTAGCTTTTCGCCCGAAGCTTCGCCCGCGTGGAGTTCAGTTATATCGCGTTTCCAAAAGAACCTTTCAAAATTCTAGGATAAAAAGTATCCTATGTTCTTTCTCAAGGTCAACTCTATCTCTGTACCAAATTTCATTAAAATCAGTTCAGTGGCTTAGGCGTGAAAGCGTAACAGACAGAGTTACTTTCGTATTTATTATATTAGAAGGGATTATCGTATGTACTATACTAACAAAGTTTCTTATTGGATCCTCAGGGTCTATAATAGTAGGTTTCATATTAATAAGGTCAACAATTCTGGCGGCTGCGTTTATTCCTCTTCGGAAGTCTGGTGCGTAAGCAAATGCGCTCTGTGCCTGAGATGATGCCATTTGTAAAGATTGCGTCGTTCTGAAGAAGAAAGTAATAAAAATTCATTAAACAATCCATCAAAAAAAAAAGAAAAATTTACAGCTGCTAATAGAGTAAACGAAATTGAAAAATCTTTGTAAAATTATTTTCTACTCGAAAACCGATTAAGTCAAAATCGTTCATATCACACGCAAGTAAGACAGACTTATAAGTATGGTACTTATGGAAGCATGATAAAGTACCTACACTTGAAGACTATTCAAGTATAGCTATTAAGTTTCACTTCATATATTTTCTATAGAAAACCCACACTAAATAAGACCAGCCAAAGCCAACCAACTAACATAAGTATATGTTGGTAGGGTACTCCATCGGCGACTACGTGCCCACCGTAGGTGAGGGCGGCCGCGTTAATAAAGTTAAACATAGATCGAGACAATCCTGACACGACACCTCGCCAGTGAGCTGCGCACACCGCGGGCCTCCGAGCAGGTCTTAGGCAATTCGCATACTCAACTACCATGGCTGGCTCTCGACCGAGACAGGCAACTGTCCGTATATTAGATAATGCCTCAACAGCAATCTGGAAGTGTAGAGGACAAACAGAGCAAAATATTTTAACATAGTTTGGTGATTATGCATTTATAATCAGAACTAGCTTTCCGCCCGCGTGGAGTTCGGTTATATCGCGTTCCCAAGAGAACCTTTCAAAAGTTTGGGACAAGAACTATCCTATGTTCTTTAACAAGGTCAACTCTATGTCTGTACAAAATTTCATTAAAATCAGTTCAGTGGTTAAGGCGTGAAAGCGTAACAGACAGACAGAGTTACTTTCGCATTTATAATATTAGTAGGGATAGCAATTTGATAGTAAATACTGATAAAAAAATAGCGTAAAGAAGTATAATAAAAATAATATCTAAGAGATATTACATTAAATTAATATCTTTCGTTGGGGTTACCTTTGTGCTACTTTCGAGAGCTTTCGCATATCCCTGAGATTCCTTGTCTGTGGCTTTTGTCTGTTGCCAAATTACTAGAATAACTAATGGCAAGAAAGCAAGCGCGACCATACCGACTCGCCATTCGAACCACATAGCTAGAAACAGCGCTAATCCAATGGATCCAACTCCTTGTAAAATTATACCAATCCGTTGACCTGTTGCCTTAAAAATTAACAAAATTATACAAAAATCATCTACCTTCAAACATTCATGAAATATGTTGAAATGAATCGGATGTAAATTGCATGGTCCTATTAAAACAGCCATTTAAACAAGTATGGCCACGTGTTAGAATTATAATAAGCGAAATGGAATATAAGGTCAAAGTTAAACAAAAATAATCTACACACTCCTTGCACGTAAGCAGCCTCAGCAGATAGCCTGGCACACAGAGCTCCCGGTGAATTCTCTCGTTCGTCATAAAATGCCACATCTTGAACCAGAAGATTTTTGAACATCCGTATACGCAGCCGTTCCGTGAGGTATGCACCCGCGATACCAAAAGATAGTGTCTAAAATTATATTATAATAACAATTGATAACTGAACCCATATAAATACTTTCTAGATAATAATGTAACTAAGTCTTATAACTCTCATACTGGATAGGTTTTAAAAGACAAGTTAGTTGTGGTTTTATAATAATTTGTCATAAATAAAATGTAGGTAAGCTAATAGCAATAAGCCTTATACACAAAATTTTGTAGACACTTCTAATAGAGAAAAGATTGTACAGAACGATTTTGTACGTATTAAACTTAATGGCATATTAATAAATAATAATAAAATGTTTATTTCAAACCAGCCTCTATAGCATTTGAGAGACCCATAGCACATCCGATTATAATACAGATAATTGATACATCTTTCACTTTATTCATCAGAATAGCTGAATCGGGACTTGACATGGTCTAAAAGTGTTAAAAATTAAATTATGACAAAAGTAGATAAATAAGAAGAATATTTATTAAAAGATTGCAATTATTTCTATTGAATGTCAATCTTTTAATTGCGTTATATTTTGGTCCTTTTTGTTTCTAGGTGTCTATGTAAATGACACTCCTAATTCATCTTTATATCTCTTAATGTGATAAATAAATAAATTATTTCCCTCTTTAATTCATCTATAACGACTCTTTACAATTAACAAGAATTTATAACGAACAAAGTCTGTTCAGTATTTACCAACCTTAACAATAACCATTGAATGAGACCAAATGATTATTTGAAATAAAAGAAATATCTCAAATTGGATATGACTTGTTTATAAAGAATAACATAGAAAATACTCACACCGAACAAATCACCAAAGACCACTATGAATAACGGCATAGAGAATCCACTTATTACGGAACAAATACTGCCTAATGTAATGATCTTCCATTCTGGAGCATTTAACATTATAACTTCCCGGAAAGAAAGAGGTTGTACGGACGTTTCTTTTTCATATTTCACATCCTAAGAACTCTATTTGTTTATTATTTCTAGATATTTAGATAAACAATTCTAAATGCAATGTTCCGGACTACAGTTTGCGACTTATTTGAGTTTTCTCTACACGGTCATAATAAAGGACTTGTCTTTCGACAACTTATACTAGGGAATGACTCAAGTATTAACTCCTTTTCCACTTTCATGCTCTTATTGTACTACGAAAACCCACTAATAATTTAACTCTATGAAAAATTCATCCTTGCAATATATATATTATTTTATGTTCAATTTTCAATTTAATTTTTTACTATTCAAATAAGGGTCACTTAATGTTTAAGATTTTTTTTACTAATTTACTAGAAATTATGTGTATACTAAGGTATTTGTATTTTATTATTATTATTGTTTTTCTGCTTGTTCGTTCTCAAATTCCACTATGTCTGACACCTCTAAACCTGGCCTGTTCATTTGATAATTTAACCAAACACAATAGGTCTACTAGTAATAGCTACTTGTAGTCAGGAGAGAGTTAATATTGTTTGTCGTTCATAAAGTGTATATAAATAATTTCCTACCTTTTTTAAATCGACAGTATCCTTTGATATATTTGAACGCTCTCGGGAAGGTTCGTCTGTTAATAGAAATATTAAGCTTAAATTTTAATATACTCGTATTTTTAGTCGAAATTAATAATTGCATAGCAGAATCATACCATCCACGTGTAACTCCTCATTTAATGGCAGATACTCAGATGTTGTGAACATGTGATAATATTCACCCCCCTTTTTTATCAATTCCTCGTGATTACCAGATTCTACAACGCGTCCCTTTTGCATGACAAATATTTTGTCAACGTTTCGAATAGTGGACAGACGATGTGCGATGACTATAGTTGTGCGGCCTTTAGCTGCCTTTTAGGAAGTAATAAGTTATATAGCAGTTAAATCATACATATATAATAGTTTAATGAATAAATATAAATCAATTTTACTATATAAATTGTACCCGATTTAACGCTTCCTGAACTTTTGCCTCTGATACGGTGTCAAGGGCACTGGTTGCTTCATCGAGTAATAATATGCGGGGATTCCTAACGAGGGCTCTTGCTATCGCCACCCTCTGCTTTTGACCACCTGATAAAGATGCTCCTCGATCTCCTACTAACGTTTCGTAACCCTGAATTAATTCGAATGTATGACTATATTCAAATAGCGAAAATCATCAACAGAAAAATTTTATATAATTGAGAAAATCTAGAGATATTAAAAGAAATTCGAAATTAATTATTAATTTTACATTTCTCTCAAATTCAGTTCCAACACAAAGTAAAACCATTTGTGATTTTGTATTTATAGTTCATACTCTGTACGCACAATAAAAAAAAATTCAGTATTATACCCACATAAATTTATGATATTTGAAATAACACCTACTGAAGGGAGCTCCATAATGAATTCATGGGCATTTGCTTGTTTGGAAGCGGCGATGACGTCGTGATAAGAAACGTCTACGCTTCCTAGACGAATGTTCTCATATATGCTTGTATTGAACAGCACCGGTTCCTGTCTAACAAGGCCTATTTGATGACGAAGCCATCTCACAGAAAGTTCTCGAACGTCACGGCCGTCAATGCGCACCTATTATTTATCAACTTTAGAACTTAGTAGAAATACATAATTTATTTTCAAGTCAAATAAAAAAAATGACCCACGCTTCCACCATCCACGTCGTAGAATCTTGATATAAGTTGAATAATGGTAGTTTTCCCGCAACCGGAATTACCAACCAAGGCGATAGTCTGCCCGCTACGTACATCTATAGTTATCGAATCCAATACCTTGAAACGATATTAAATGAGTCTTAAGAAATTACAATGAGAATTTTATGAGATACAAATACTAACAAGGACTGAAGGTCGAGATGGATAGTGGAAAACAACGTCTTTAAACTCTATAACACCATTTATACCATCGGGCCTAATACCCCGATCAAGTAATGGGTTTATAGTGGGTACGTTATCCAGAACTTGAAAGACTTGGGCACCTGCCCCCTGAGCTGATCCGAAAGTCGACATTAGAGATCCTATCATACCCACATATGTTAAGGCAGTCATAACTCCAAAGAACACCTAAAATGATAAAGTTCTTTCTATATGACCGTTGTTGTGAAAGAAAAATCAACTGTATTCCATAATTTACTTTCATACAGAAAACATGACGTCGGCATTATATTTTTCAGGCTCATTTATTATTAAGTATATTCCAATATAGAATGCCAAGGCGTAAGAACTAAAAACGCATAAATATAATAGGCCCATTGACATTCCTGTGAAAATTTCCTTTCTAATAAATATCTTTCTTGCGTCGGCCAGATGTTTCTTATATCGTTTTAGTTCATATTGTTGAGCGTTAAAGGCATAAACAGTTTTAATAGAACCAAGAACCTCTTCGGCTACGGCACTAGCCTGAGCCTTCGCTTTGGCTTGTTTCTTGTATAAGTTATTGGCAATCTAAAAACAAAACATATGTTTTGTTATTGTTACGAATAATTTTACTAAATTAACTGAAAATCGTTTGTCCCTACCTTACCAGTAACACCAACTAGAAAAAATGTTATTGGAGCTGTACTGAGGCACAATAAAGCTAGTTTCCAACCCTTTATCAGAGCCATTATTATACAACTTAATGAAACGGACGCATTGTGTACCAAAGAAGATACCTTGTCTCCGATGCCTTCCTCCAATTTGATCATGTCTCTGTTGAAAACATTTTATTTTCATTCAAACTTTTAATACACACTGAACACTTCACAAAAGTTTCTGGATTTTTTTTTACTCGGCTATCCTTGAAGCGAAGTCTCCAGTCTGGTGGAGATCAAAATATGCAAAATCTTGATTGAGTGCAGCTCTTAAATAAGAAATTCGTATCCGAAATATCTACCGGGAGGAAAAAATCGACAACTATATTTGTTACAAAACTTCAATCTACTTAAAAACATTTGAGTTTTTATACCTGATTAATAGCAGCAATAGATATTAAAGCTGTTCCCAAATATCCTCCAAAAAAAAGGACAACACCGACGCAAGAGTAGTATATGCCAAATTGGTGAATAGAATGTATAAAAGAATCTTTATGTGCAGTCATATTATTGCTTTTGGCAAAATCAATCATATTTTGAAATACGCCTGCGACTAAAGATATTGCATATGGTGTGGTTACACCCGAAATGAACGTAGCTAATAAAGAGATTGTTATAAGAATTTTATCCAATTTTGAAGCATATCTGAACTAAAAAAAAACATATACAGTATAATAATAAAAATAATAATGATTAATTTACAAAATACCTACATTGTTATTCATAAAATAGCACAAGACGTATGTAACAATAAAAAAAATAACTTGTTACATTAGATTTTCTAATTTAATTGGCTGTCTGGCCGCTATGACATGGCGCCGTGTAATGAGCTAAATGACTGGCCATCAGTCTATTTGTTCTATATTATTTTCCAATTACTTATTTAAAGAAACATTTTAAAATATATTTCTTTTAAACGTGCATCGTTATTATATAATAAAATTTTACACAAAAGGGTCTAAAATAGGAATAAAATTCAGAGATATATCTACCTATATCAACTATTCTATCTCTAATATTTCATATTAAACTTGTTTAAAAATGAACTAAACATACATATTTATTGGGACAAGTGATTAAACACCAATTTACTTCTCTAACTATACCAATCAACCATATAGCCTATAAATTGGTAGGTAAATGAGGTAGCCTATATGATATAATTTCTACACTTTCTTTACAATATTGATGAACAACTGACCTTGAGGGCTTATTAATAAATTAAGTGACAAAGATTGTTTAATAGTCAGAAAATTATATTGAAAAAAATATTATCAAGCAAAACATGAAGTACTAACCAACGAAAAGTATGAAATATGTGGAGGTTCATTGCTCTTTGAATCACTTAAAACATACAAGTAGGGTTAATTGTTTGAAAATAAGAATGAACAATTTTGTTAATATTTCTTACCCTGTTATACTCATTCTTTATATTTAAAAAATATTGGTTATTGATCACAAATAACCTTTGGATATACTTTGATTAAATGAAATGACAGACAAAATGTGTTTGTGGTTACGGAAAGTCAAAATATATATTGTTTTAAAAGAAAAGAGGTCCTTATAGCGATTTTATTACAAAAATATTCAAACAATAAAAAATATTTGCTAATAATCATTTACTCAATTTCATAATATTATTAACAACACAATTATATTAATATATATTAAATGGAAATAGATTTAAACACATTTTCTACGTTTCCTGTTATATGTGCCAGTTGTGTCGTTTAATGAAAATTTATTTATAAATAATTCTTCATATAGAAGATTTTTTGCGTTCTCACTCAAATACGTAGATATTTCTTTGTAGAGGAATTTCTTGTAACATTCCTCGCTCGTGCTTGTCTGTGCGTTGACCAATTTCGTCATTTTCGTCGGTTTGTTACCAAGTGATTGTTTTAATTCCATAATTTTTTGCGAATTATTATCTATCCTACTGAGTAATGTCTGCTCTAGTTTACTCATTCTCTTCTCAAGGAAAGCCATTGTATATTCATGTATGTTTGGCAATGGCTGATCTTTGGGTGGATTTAGTTCAACATCACTGTCTTTTAGTACAGATCTTTCTGATTTACTTTTGTCTGGTTCGGTAGTTTTGATGGGATCGTCTAGTTTGTTCAAACATGATTCAATCACATCTTTTAGTTTCATATTGAATTTTCTCTTCCTCTCAATAGCGGCTGTCCTTTCAGGTGTTAGTTTGCTCTTGTTTGGTAAAAGCCTCGGTGATGGTTGTTTAACATTAGCTTTAGGTATCGTTATTAAATTTGCATCTTCATTTTCAACTGAATCCTGTTTCGGTTGGATTTCTATGTCCAACACTTCTAAAACTTTAACATCATCACATTTATTGAGTGATGCTTCTGTAGCACTGTTAGATGTATTTGGTTGTTTAACTCCATAAGCCCTCTCTGGAATGTAAAGTGTGGTCCCCGGTGTTACCTTTTCAAATTTACCCGTTATCGGTAATGGCCATTGTATCTTTTTTTGGGACAATATTTTTATCTTTGGTTCTTTCTTTACATTTTCATTCTGTTGTAAGTATGTTTTAGGCGTATTTGGTTCTGATTTCTTAGAATTTATATTTTGGTGTGTCTCCTGAGAGTTAATTATTGTGACATTGTTCTTATTGATGTCCATTTCATGTAATGTGTTCGATATAGTGTGATCATACTTTATAACATTAGGTTCAGGCGGCTGTTGTACAATAATTGGGTCTTTATTCATAAAATCTGATGGTGGAAGATTTAATAGCTTTGGTTGTAAATTTATTGGATTTAATTTGATGTAGCTATTATTGTATGATGAGTTTAAATTTTCTACATTATCAGAATTATTTCTTACAGTAGAATCCATTAATTCACCGTTTGTTAAAAAATCTCCATACTTCAATGAGAAATTTGCCTTTTTATTCACAATTTGATAATCATTTTCTATGTCTTCCAAGAGTATTAAGTTTGAAAATGTTTTATGTTCATTGCTATTGTTTGAAAACTTTGTTGGGTCACAGAATGGTCCATCTTCGGTCGGTATAGCATCAAATGTGAGTTTGTCTTTCTGAAATTAGTATATTAGGGAATTATTATTAATAATTTTAAATGGTTCTACCAATAATGTCAAATATGGAAATGTGTGGTCATAAGTCAAAGACAAATTTAAGAAAATTTATAAGATGACGGTTATTTAATTATCAGAATTGGTTTTGTAAGATTTAATTTTCTAGAAAAGGACATATGGTCCAGTTTTTGGAATTGTAAAAAAATTACATAGTTTATTTTTTGAAATGCTTAAAGTAAGAAATAGTTTACTGGTTCTTCATTATAGTTTTAATGAAAATTGAAGTATTTAATACATAAACCATAATAAATGATCAAAAAGATCTACAACTACAAGAATTTCTTGAGCTCATTACACAAATTAGGTTGAGATAAAAGTAACTTATCTATAACTCTAGCACAATAAGTAACAAAACATTTTGTATAAATTCTTTGGCTTTTTATCGCCACATATAAAAGATATCTAATATTATCATACAACACTTATAGAAAATAAAGTTTTTTTTTAATGTAAATACCAGAAAATAACATTTTCAAGTTATGTTATTGTTCCGTTTTTATTATCTCACCTTGTAATTCATAAAGTTTTCTTCTCTAAAATGATGTTGACAAACAACTCTATTCTTCAACTGTGATACTTTTAAGTTTAGGAATTCTAATTTATGTGCATTGACCAGCCATTGGTGGCATCTCACTTTTTCAAACACAGGGTAGTGGAACATATGTGTCTTCCCATCAGTTTTGACGGTACAATTGCGATAAGTACATCTACAACCACCCATCTTGAGGCTGAAACAAGAATTTCGTACATTAATTTCTTAAAAAAAGACATTAAAACTATAGAACGGTGAGTAAGAGTTCAATAAGATGAACTTTGTGACCAATACATATTAAATAGTCCTAACACTGTTAACTTGTTGTTTGTTAACTAATACTTCGATTTATACTTCATACGACAGAGCTTGAATGCTATCCTTAATATTGTAGTATATTTGGTTATGAAGTAAACAAAATATGTAAATCAGATAAGTTCTATTTCAATAATTCACTAGCAAATAACGTATAGAAAGCTCTGCACTTAAAAAGACTCGTGTGATGTATATCAGTATATTACCTTCCAAGCCTTATTAGCACATATGATGTTTTAGCTAATGTAAATTATATTTAGTGTTAAAATTGTACAAATTGTGTAAATAAATCAAAGGATAAATAATAGATTGTATCGCAGTTAGTCTGACATATAAATGTCATTCATTACCATAATACTATTGTTGTTCTTTTTACAATTTGACATTTTATAACGGCAAACACCAACGACAAACAGCCAAAAAAATTAAATATATTTAAAATATTTTATTTTATAAGAAATTTAGTACAAACTATACTTTATTTATTCTTTGTTTTAAAAAATTATAGTTTTGTATTTTTATTTTAATAAGGTGTAAATCAATATGAAGGTTCAATATATACCAATACATCAGTTGTATTTATAAAAATATGGTGAAATCAATACTACTTAGGGTCATTTCTTGGTAATCAGGTAAATATAAGATTTTGCATGAAATAAATTTATTATTTATTTATTAAAAAGTATTTGATATAAAGTCATAATTGTTGAAGTGGCAATACATTTAATAATAACAAAAATTTTACCTGAGGTCCAGTTTACCCGGTTTTTTTTATATGAAAGAGCAAACTGTCATATTTGTAAGAAAAAATATGACTGTAGTGCTTAGAAACTATAAAAAAATTTCATTCAAGACTTCACGTCATGTTACTAAAAAATCATGCAGATAATTTTGTAATATTATTCTCATTGATGAACAAAGTACAAACACATGTACAAACTTTGTCAATAATATTTATAGGTTACAATGTATAAGTGTCATTAAAATTTCTCAATTAGTTTCTGTCTTTGGGAGTAATTAACATTAATTTCTTACCACTCACAATATTAGATGGATATTATTATAACAAATTAACATAAACCAATTTTCTAAAAACATCAATTCCATTTTACATGCAATATATTCAGGTTGATGAAAAACTATTCCATTCAATACTTTTTTATTTATACAGTTATTTATTTTAGTCGAAGTAAACATTTTTTTTACATAGGTAAAGCACATTTATTATATTTGCAAGTCTTTTTAACTTTGTTACTTAAATATTGAAACTAAAAATGTTTGCTATTTGGAATTACAATAATGTTTTCAATTTCAATTCAATAAAATAAATATAGGTATACTTTTTTCTCATATTGAATAGGTTTTCCGATTGATATTTTAAAAACATGCGGAGTTATAAATCGAAACACGCTGTGTAATCCTCATTAATTATTTTCTACAATATTAAACTAAATGAATCCTCATAGCTATAAAATATACTAGGTAATAAAATAAACGTGCTTTCATCCATAGCGTCGGACTTATGTGTTTAAACATGCAAAGCATGGATATGAAATATAAAAATTATATTTATAAAACAATTAATACGTTCTCGCCACTTTATTGGCAATTAAATCTTTTTTCTCTACAATGCCAGTTAAATGTGAATATTTATTTTCAGTCATTTCGGATGGTTCTAGCTGCTATTATCTCCTGTATAATAACTATTTTTTCGTTGTACTATAAGATGATCAATATTTATCATCTTCTACTATCATCTATTAAATACACAGACGCAGTGCAAGCAATTTATGATTATTTACAATACGTCTTCGATTTGTACTGTATCTTCAAGTATGGGTCGAATATTTTCTTTGAATATATAAACCAGTATGCATACATAGATTGCTTGTTGGACATGGATTATTATAGGTATATTAGGAGAAGACTTATAAAAGTGATGGTTATTTTATATTGCATGTGGTTTTGTGGCAGTGTATTTGATTTTGTACTATGGGAAATCGGTTTCGGCTTTGCAACAACATCGGCTTTCATTATGGGATATGTTTATACTTTAATAAAAATTTTATCGAATTTGGATCTGACGGCACACGTAATGCAAATAGAAGCTCGGCTGCGTGTGATAGGTGATACTATACAGAATAGTTATCAGTCTTTTGATAATATTTCTCCAAAGTTTGAAGACACAGTCGCTAAGAATAACTGGTTTTACAATGACTGTGGTACAAGTACCAAGATAACGGATGCCAGAAGAATTACATGCTTGTGTTCTAATGACGTAAAATGGTTAAGCAGATGCTATGTTTTACTAACTGAACAAGTTACATTCATTAACAATATGTTTGGAAGGAGGGTAATGATTACTATTGAAAAATATCTAACAAACAGAATTTACCCACAATACTTATGTTGTCTTTATTTTACAGATATTATTAAACAGTTTAAGTTTTCTGCTTGATCTAGTGCGATATATAAACTTATGTGTTCGTATTTTAATTGGGACTCAGGTAAATATAGATAGATAGATCATAATAATGAATGAGGTTGTATATGCCGTTATAATTTTTCAATTTTTTCGTACAGTATTCAGGTTCTAGCAACCAACCAGCAATGTCTACTGTGTTCAAGGCTATTAACTGCGCTGTAGTCATATTCAGTCTTGTAAGTCACTGTGAACGAACGTACAGGCAAAGAGACAGAATTATTAAACTCATCGATCACTTGACGCTATTTAAAAAACTAGGTACAAATTATCTATGAATTCTTATGAAAATATATTTGTTGATGCACTTACTGCTTACATTCCAGCGTTCTTTTTCTTTATCATAGTAGTTTTATTGTTTTAATATGCACTTTTTTTAAGTCGAACTCAGTGGAAAGTTGAATTAGCTGGTCCTGAACGAAATTTAATGATCTGTCATAACTCATAACGCCACAAGATTTTCGTGACATCGAGAGTTTTCTAATAAGTAGAATTAATTGGAACACCAAGTACATACTAATTACCTATTTATCGTAAATATTTTTTAAAGGCACAGCACTAGTCAGAAAATTGCAACTTTTTTATTAATTGCACTTTAGTTTAATTGACGCTACATTCACATTTTGTAGTGATGTGATTAAAATATTTTTATTTTATAATCATGAACATCCTTATCTATATGTATTTATTTTCTGTTTTAACAGATGACCAATTATTATCATCATTTATGGACATGCGAAATTTGATTGTGTCTCGATCAATAACTTTTCACACGGACTTCAATACACTGAATTATTCATGGCTGGTGTCCATAGCATCAGTTGTGGTCACTTACTCCATAATTTTGCTGCAGAATTTCAACTAAAAACTATATAAGAATGCAGTGAAAAAAATGTTGATTGTAAAAATATATATATCAGTTTTTCGTTTAATTTTTATTCCATTCTATTAAATTATTATTATTTAAATTTTCAACCAATTATTGCCATGACAGTAAATCTGATGGTTATACTCGTATATATTCCTTATAAGTAAAATTAAGTTGCTGAAAATTTTATAGATACGAAATGTCATTTTAACATATAAATTAAATAGGATTTTAGATTGTTTTCCAAACAACGAAGTGGATAAGTTTTTCTATACATTTTTAAAAAATAGACTATGGCTTCATTCGCGCTGGAATCTTTTGCAAATATCAACGTTTTTATTTGTTGGACGAGTTATTTTGAGTGCTGTGAGGATTCATACAATTTTATATAACGAAATATATATGTAAATAAAATAGGTAGAACATGTCTATGTATATGCTATCTAACTGTACTCGTATGCTGAGTCCAAATTTTGCATACTCATCGTCTATGTTTCCTCATTCTATAATCTACGCTAATAATATGATAAGTATCTATAACGCTATATATATTTCGCGATTATGCCTACTTGGGTTAAGAATACTGGTCTATCTATGTATTTGATAGTGTATTGAAATATTATACAATCAAATTGTCGTGAATATAACGAACAAAATTTGGTACCGCTATGCAAAAGTTACATGAAACAATATTGTAGATTGTGTTGTTAAGTTTATTAAGGACGTAAAGTAATTTAAATGTAAGAAATATTTCTTTAAGGACTTGTAATGTTAAAAGTAAATGTTGTTTTAAATTTTGTACTGAAACTTACTTGTTTTAAAGCGATATGTGTCATGATTATAAGAAGATATGTAGTATTAATAATCACCAGGAAGAAAATAGGTATCTAAGCGTTCGGACGTATCATACAAAAGGACCTATATGGCTTGTGCTTATTGTTAAATAACCAAATTCTTTCGCTAATAATAGAAATATATGGTATACGCTTTATTTATTTAGTTATATTTTTCTTTTCTTTTCTTTTCTTCTATTGATACAACTTATAAAATATTACAATTCACAACATGTGAGCGTATGTTCATTAATTGATCCACCCTTTTTAAGGCTTCATACCTCAAAAATAAAGTATGTATTTGTCAGATTATAGAGCCTTTTTACAATAAAAGCAAAGGTGCATAATATTGGAAACCTTAATAATATTTGAAGTTTGAATTAATAAACCTCTTTCATTGAATTAAAAATATAATTATTTTGTTTCAAAAGCCATATTCCTGGCTCGAAAATACGTACAATTTGAGAAAGATAGTTTTAAAATAACATCTTATACTTCAAATAAAGAAAATTTGAGATGATTTAAATTCACATTAATTACTATATATTTAGAGTTATTGAAAAGACCTTGATAAGCAAATAGTGGAAAATTAAAATAAAAATTCTTTTTTTTTGGAATCCGGAAACCGATTAGAATAATTTTAGTTATCGTATTTCGATAAAGCTGGAGATTGCAACTACAAAATTTAAAA